AACTAGTCATTATTATGCATGGTTATAACGACTCACATAGAGATCAAATACCATCTAAGTAATCATGGGAAAGCATATCCATTCGTTGTGACGATACAATAAAACAAATCGATCATACTATTTTATCGGAAAACATAGAGTTTTCCGGGGAAACAACATTATTCACTTGTACTTTCAATAACTATAATGCAAGAATTTATCACGAGAAACACACCATTTTTACACGTTTTGAAATCATTCACGCATATACTTATGGATCATCACACCTATTGTATAAACAATTGTCGTTTCAGAAAATATCGGATTTTCTGGGTTTTACAAACTATACAAAACATTTTCATATCAAACCTGCTTATAAACTCACCAACATTATATATGTTGACGTTTTCAAAATAACTTGTATTCTCAGGTAACAGATAAGCTGAAGAACAATACTAAGTGTGTTAGGATGTTATGTTTTGTGACTCTCAATCAATTTATGCTATGGATTATGTAATGTAAAAAATGTACTGGATATGAACAATGACGGTTGAAATGTATTAATGCATGGGGATGTTTATGTTATGTTTCATGTATATTCATTGTGATGATATTTCAATTCAAGTCACACGAGCCCTCGGACGTTTCCGCCGTCTGGTTCGGGGGTGTGACACCATTGAAGGCGGTGCAACAGTCGATCAACAACCCTTCACCACCGGTCAGTCAACATCCGGCCAGCGACTCCGTTCTCCAGTCTCTTCTTATGTGACTTCGTCGTCCTGCATGTCACTGCCTCCGTCCGTCAACGCCCTTGTTGCCTCCCTTGTCAGCGTCATTACTGCCTCCCAACGCTAGGTTTGATCATTCTCTCTCTATCTCAAGTATCAAATTATCTGCCTGAATAGAGTCATTATAATCATAAATATAAATGCTTACTGTATGTTTGAGCAATCGATTAGTAAACACTGATGAGATGATCATTAACATTTGTTGTGGTCTTTGACTCTGTTTTTTCTTTTGCTGTTGATGCAGTGTAAGGTGTTTAAGCTCAAATATTCATTTATATTATTGTCTCTAAGAAGTATGAAAATGTTATTTGGGGGAAATTAAGAGTTTGATTTATTTCGGTTTGTCTTTTAGTCTCATTGTAGGTGAAATGGAGAACCTCTAACCCCATAGCAAATCAACTGCCTGAAGCAGTTTGGATGCCTGATGGGTAGTGTAAATTTATTCCAGGAATGATTTGGTTGTGAATCACTTAAGCTACCATTTATGTTGCAGCTACCAAGCAAGGAATGCTCTGGTACACATTGTTTATTATAGTTAGTTGTTTCATATTTGGTTAAAGCTAGTTGTGTATCAGAGAGATTGTTTGAAGAATCTGGATGTAAAGAGGGGGAATAGGACAAAGTTTGGTGAGCAAAACAAATATCTTAAAAATTACAAGTATTATTATTTGAGAGCAATTGGAATTGATGTTGAGATGTAGACAATGAACACTAGTTTTTTGTCAATTAAAGAACATAAACATTGATAATGTAGGTCCAACCTTTTCTGTTTTTTTAATATAATCATCATACTCGTGAAAGTATTAATAAATATTAAGAAGATTTTTATTTTGTTATCTAGCAGAAATGGTCCATGTGGTTCTAATTTTTCTTTGCTTTTGGCCAAATAGGAACCTCTTTTTGGCTCTTATTAGGGGGTTTTGTTTTTCTGTTGGTACATGAGGTTAACACGGTTCGCTTAAATACATTAGATCATTGTGAAATGAATTTTAAATATATAGTCATGCAAAATGACTAAAGTGTCATTATCTAATTCTTTTAAACAACATGCCACCCCAAGGAACAACTTAATTTTGGAGTGATTAATCTCAAGTGATTTGATCACCACTGTTTAGTAAAGTTATTTGTAGCAAATCAACTGCCTGTATACACACTGTTTATTAAAGTTAGTTGTTTAATATTTGGTTAAATGTAGGTCCATTGAAGACCCAGGTTCCGATAGTGATCAAGTTATGGCATGGAGGACCTCAAGTTCTAATAGTAAATAAATTTCTTGTTACTTTACAAATATTGAATGAGTAATTGATGTCATAATGACAAATAAATTTCAACTCTTTTGGTTTTGAAGAGTAATGGACTTCTTGGTGGAGATGTTTTGTAACTTATACAACATCAAGATTGATCCATGCAACAAGCTTGCAATCCACCTAATTATCCTTAGATTATTGTTGTAAACACTATTACCGTTTAAAACAATTATATTATTTTATGTTTAGACATTTATATTATGTTTGTGTTTAAACCTTTGTTTAGAAGTTGTGTTGTAATGGATAATATTTTAGATATATGTTTATTGTGTTTGTATATAAACTTCAAACATAATTTGGTCATTTGAATTAGATTTTTTTCAACATTTTGGGCAGAAAAAATCTGGTTTATTGTGTTTATTTTTTTTTTATAATTCATGTTTCCTCGGAAATGCCTAGGAAAATCCATTATAAAAGTGTCACTAAAAAACTGTTGCGAATACTGTCAGAATAAATACTTCCTAGGAAATTCCTCAAAAAAGTATTGTACAAGGAAATGTCTCGGAAATATATTTCCTAAGAAATTCCTTGGAAATACATTTCCTTGGAAATTTCTCGGAAATGTATATCCTAGAAAATTCCTCGGAAAAATATTTCCTAAGAAATTCCTCGGAAATATATTTCCTAGGAAACTTCTCGGAAAAATATAGCCTTGGAAATTCCTCAGAACTACCGACAAAACATATTTCCTCGGAAATGCCTCGAAAATTTCCTCAGAAATCCCTTACAAAAAGTTTCCTAGGAGGGTTTTACCTACACACAACTTTTCCTCGGTATTTCCTCGGAAACAACGGTTTCCTAGGAAATTGTCCCTCGGAAAAGGTGTGTTTTTTTAGTAGTGTTATTGATAACATTAATGACGAATTTAATTATTTTTCATAAAAAGAGAATTATAATTATGGATATCATTTAATATACATACAATTATGGAAATCATTTATTATCTATCTTTATTTAATTAAATAATTATTTAATTTACAAAATTTCTATTGGTACATTCTAGCACACAATAAATGTAAGAAACAAATTAACCTAGCCATATATATAGATATATATATATATATATATATATATATATATATATATATATATATATATATATATATATATATATATATACCAGTTTATAACCCGTGGGAACCACGGGTTATAAAATTAATTAATTTTTTATAATAAAAATTTATGACTATTAATTAATTATTTTAAATAAATTATTAATTAAGAGATATATATCAAAATTTTAAAGTTATTATAACTTCAAATTTAACATATAATTAGAAAATGTAAATTTGAATTTTGAAATGAATTGTTTAATATATCTACATAACACATGACATAATATTAATGAGGAGTTGTATTAGAGTGACACTTGACAAAAGAAGATTAAAAACTATTCATTTATTAGAATATATATATATATATATATATTATATATATATATATATATATATATATATATATCTATATATATATATATATATATATATCTGTGTGTGTGTGTGTGTGACAGTAAATATGTTGTTGTTCGGTATCTATCAAAACAATGTTTATTTTATCTTTGTCTCTCTTAAAGCATTAGGTATGGGCCCGTTGATGTGGTGTTATAACACCTTATAACATCAATGGGGAAATGATGTTCATGGTGTTATGACCCTGTTATGAGGAGTTTAAGAGGAGAAAAATAGAGAGAAAAGAAATGTGCAGCCAATCAATGTTCCCGTTTCAATATGTCATAACGCGAACAAGATATGTCATAACACCAAGTGGGAAATGGTGTTCATAGTGTTATCACCATATTATGAAATGCCACATCAGCAAAAATACCACTTCTTGTTGCCCATACCGTATGCTCTTAACACTACAAGAAAAGTTCTTATTAATGAACAATTTTTTAGTAACAACCTAAAATTTAGTCACTAACAGCAACATTTAGTCACCAAAAATTTAGTTGTCAGTCAATTTTAGTAATCCTACAAATTTAATGACCAATTACTCAGCCGGTAAAAATACAATTAGACTATGAAGGGTAAAAACCCAACCGATGAACAGTGTTTAGCCGCCAAAAAATTTACTCAGCCGATTGAGTTACTGTTCACAAGCACACTTGAAATTGTACGTATAATATATAGTTTAGCTCTATTTCTTTTCAGGATTTTAGACCTACACGTTGATTTAACTTAGAGTTCTGCATGTGTGTGTGTTTGTTATGATGTAGGTAATGACGAATTGTGGATCTACATAGCCCCTAGGAGCTGTAAGAATCCCACATGCCTTTGATCTTTAACCTACTATTTAATTTGATAAAACAATATAAATTAATTAATCCTTATTTCGGAACCTAATGAGAAAAGTATGCGACTCCCAACAAAAGTTTAGACTCAAAATATCTGTTCAAATATCATTGTTTTTAAGGTCGGTTCTATGGTAACTTTATGGTCCCGAGGTTACATTCAGCACATTTTCATTTATAATGTAAGGAGGTTAGATTGATTTTTTTTTCTTGATCGGCCGGGAGAAAGAGAGTGGTTTGGTGTTTGGATTGCGACATAATTAAGCAATGGTGGGATACTACATCAGGAAAATAAATAAATAAATAATCAATTTGTAAACGTTGGAGAATTATAAGTATATTTTTATTATGAGTAATATTCCTTTTTACATATATGATAGCGATATATTGCATACGTAGACGTGGATTATTGACACAATAACGATAAAAATTGCCAACAAATTATTAAAAGAATTGGATGGAATATATGCCAAAAGTTGAGTAACGTACTTTTTAGAGTAGAATCATAGTAACAGAGGCATTCGCTAATTAAACCCAGTTACACCAATTTTATAACTCCACCGAAACATTTTATTGTAATGTCGAGAAGATATCTTGAATGAAAAGGAATTTAAAGTCACAAATAAAACTTAGTCTTCAGTTTATGAACGGGTCATTGTATTCGATATATGAATCCAACGATGACCATAAAAACTCATCCATGATCATATCTTCAGAAGAACCGGGGTAGAATAAATTAGAAGGTGAAAAAAAGTTATCATCACTTGATGATAGGATGCTATCAATGTCCAATGAAAAAGGCTCGGTCCAAAAATTCCGTTTGTAATCAACAAGTTGTGGTGTAACTTCAGTTGTCGCTGCTGAATCTGATCCGTTAAACAAGTATGACGATAAACTACTACTTGAAGAAGACAATGGTGATTCAGTCAATAGAATTTCCAAGTCGTGCTGAAGTTCTAATTCTGAGTTTTTGATAGGATTTTCTTTAGTGTTAACATGATTCGGTTCTTGGTTCCCAACGTGTTCACATTCTAACACTGTTTGGCCTATTTGGGTTCGTTTTTTCAAATGGGTGTGCCAACGATTCTTTATTTCGTTGTCACTTCTTCCCGGCAAATACGCAGCCATCTCTGACCATCTGCAATTAAATACAAGAATATGATCAATTAAACCACAACAAATTAATTAAGTCCAATATTCTGTGCTCAAGTATTAAGTAAATTCATTCCTGGGGAAAAAAGGTATAAACTTACTTGTTGCCAAGCTTGTTATGTAACTCGAGGATGATATCTTCTTCTTCTTTTGTAAAATTTCCATGTTTTATGTTTGGGCGGAGATAATTCATCCATCGAAGCCTGCAACTCTTGCCACTTCTAGATAAACCTAACATGGGAAATTAAAAGAACATTAACTAAGCATGCATATATATTTGTAAACTTTCAAGAACATTGTAAGTGGTTAATACCAGCAAACTGGGGAAGTAAACGCCAGTTCCAGTGGCCATATCTTTGGATGTATGCTCTTAGCTTATTGTCTTCATCTTCACTCCATGCACCTTTCTTCACTCCATTTTTGTTAAAACGTGGTGCCTTTGCCATCTTTATCTCTTCCAACTCTCTCTTGATCTCGATGGCAACTATAAATTATGGACTAAGTTTACGAATGCTAGTATTCTTATATATAATGCTAAATACATAAATAAAAACGTGTTCCAATGGAGTAAAATTCATTCTTTATATATATAGCATATAAAAGGATTGTTATCTGTTGAAAGTACAAAATTTTATAAAGTGGAAAGCATTGGCTCATTATAGCAAAACGCAAAATGCTCTGTAACTTTGGGATTAAAATATGCATGGAGTGATGGAGGGACCGCAAAAAGTTATGTGCGTCATCTTGAATTAAGCATATTTTAGTGTTCATTTTTCAAGGGACGATAACATGGGCTCAGTAACAAGCAACAAGTTCTATTAAACTTTTACGCCGTAGAGCTGAGCAAATTGGTTTCTTAAACCGACCTGGACTAGGTAAAAACTGGTTCGTTTTTTTTTTTTTTTTTTTTTTTGGACGCAAACTGCTTCAGATTTTAACCGGGAACCAGCTCAAAAGTACTATATGATAATAGAACAACAAAATCCTTCATAGCAAACCAATTAGCTAGATCATGCTTCAAAGACTCAATGCAATTGTGGTCATCTTCAGTAATAATCATGTCATCTACAGATAACGACAAAGTAATATATCGCAATAATACATCTAATAAACAAAGCCGAATCATGATTGCTCTGGACAAATCTAAGAGAAGTGACCACTATGAAGAATTTCTCAAACCAAGCACAAAGTGCTTGCTTGAGACCATGTAAAGCTTTCCGATACCGAAAAACTTCACCCGACTGGTGTGAATGCCTGGGGGAGGAGACATATACCACTACAAACAAAATTACATTTAGTTGCACAGCATATTTTGTTTTGTGCCACTAAAATATGTTTTTAGTGGCACATATTTGTTTTGTGCCACTATAACTAAAATAAAAGTTATAATTTTTGCTATTCCCGCTACGTATTAAAAGTTCCGCCAACTTGAAAGTTCTAATTTTTTTTTTCATATTCCCGTTGAGATTGAAAAGTTCCGCCCCAACTAGGGTTTTATATCGATTATTAGCAATGCACCAACACTCAAGACTGAACTTTCATTCTCTCAAAACCAGAAGAAGGAACAAGACCATCTCGACACTCACCTTATGCAATTGACCATCGTCCATTGTCAACCTCATCCTTCCACCATTGATATCACCCATCGACAATTCTTGCGCCGCCTCAATAGTCAAAAATTTTGTTGGTGGACAATATTTACCATCGCGATTTCTATCTCTCAGTCAAAATCAGACACTTACGCGGTTGTTGCCATCGACCATCGTCAACCCTTTGGCCTCCGACCTCCATCTCCAGTAAGTTATGTTTCTCAATCTATCATTTTGTCATTCTATTCAGATTCTAACTTCTAGGAATGCTTATTAACAAAAAAGTATTTTCCATCAAAATTAGATGATGGATTAGATGGTTTCGAGGTGGTAATGGATTAGCTTTAGTTCATCATTTAAATTTAATGAGTTTTATCTCATATATCGTTATGTTGTTGACATGATGTTGTGGATGTCCTCTATATTCTAGTCATTCCATTATACAAATTCAAAATTTTATATATTGACCACCCCCTATAATGTCCCAAAAATTATAAGGTAAAAATTTTCATTTTTAATTCAAAAAATAAACACCATTTATCATTTTCAATCATTCAAAAGTATATTAGAGTAAAATTAGTTATCAGAGTATAGTCCCAAAGTCATAAAGTTGCGGAAACATGGGTTGATGAGCCGCGATCAAGTCGGGCCTTTACCTTTCGAACCGAATGTACCTGAAACCATAACCATAAACCGTAAGCACAAAGGTTAGTGAGTTCCCAAAAATAATGCATGCCATACATATACGTCAGCTCAAGGCTATACCAGAACTATTTCACCCCCGAGTCTTTTTCAACTCATATGTCAGCACAAGGTTGTACCGGGTCTATTTCACCCACGAGTCTATTTCAACTCATATGTCAACATAAGGCTGTATCGGGTTTATTTCAACGTCGAGTCTATTTCACCCAACATATATATAGCAAACATACATACATGCATACAGACATACAGAAGGAGTCACAAAGACTACAAGCACATATAATCCCTAGTGTCCTACAGTATGGTGAGCAAACTCACCTCTCAGTCTGAAAGATCGTTGAACAGGACACTGCTCTGAATATCAACTCAACCGGTCTACTATTCATTGGAACATGACCAAAGTTAACTTTTAATCAAAATACCCAAAATACCCCTAAGTTAACTGGGTAAAAAACAGGTCGATGTCGAAAAGTCAAAAAGTCACCGAGTCAACTTAATTGAGTACGCCCAACGTACTTAAGCCTTGACTAGAAACGGGGTGTTGACCTCGTACGCCACGCGTACCATAGCATACGCCCAACATACGTTCAACCATCATTTCCTTCTATTAAGAGCTTAATCTGTAGCGACCCAAAAATCATTCTGTAAACAAAGTTAGTTTCTGTTGCTCGAGAATTAATTTTTGTAGAGCTATTTTGATCTTAAGAGTATTAAAAAGAAAAAAAATATGGTAAAAATCACGACATTACAAGTTGGTATCGGAGCCATGCTGTGAGCGAACAAAACATGGATGTTGGTGTTCAAACTCACAATGTAGATTGGCTAAATTAGGTGCTTTAGACCTTTAAGCGGAGGGTGTGTGTTGAGAGTTATATATTACTTGCTTGTATACTCTTAGGACTCTTAATGTTCTTGTTTTCGGAACATCATCTCTTCCTATTCGCGGGCCTGAGGATCATTGATATATCTAGACGTTAAGAAAGATGCTTTCATCTCTAAATGACAACATTCGAGGAGCGGCAGGAAGTGGTCTAAATGACCAAGAAGGACTGAAGCAGGTTTCATTTCCGATTCCTTAAGTTCCTTGGGACCCATAAGCTTAGTTATCCTTGTTGTGCGTATAGTGGAAAAGGAAGATCATCTTAGAGTGATGGTTTGACTGCACATGTTCAAAGAGCCTTGCAAACTGTTGGTTTATCGTGGCAGACGACAGACTGGGAAGAGAACCTTTATTTGGCCTAAGGATGCTAGCACGTTTGGAATTTATAATGCAAAATAGGTCTAAAAATCTTTAACCTAAACCAGGGAAACGGGAGACTTCATGGTAATGTTAGTAGCAAATGTATATATATATATATATATATATATATATATATATATATATATATATATATATATATATATGTATATATATATCTGTGTGTGTGTATGTGTTAGGATTAAATATCCTTGAATGATCGATTAGACCCAAACAGATTAAAGCAAGAACACGACAATGACTCAAAATATGCTGAATGATTCAAAGATCACGCCTCAGAAGAACTCGATGAAGAATTGCTACTGTAGAGGCATGATTAGGCTTAGAAGATAATATCATAGTTACCAAAAACACGATGCATGCATGCATCTTAAATACTCTAACCCTAGATAATAAATACGGGAGGACAGGCCCAACCCGTTTACAAAACAGTCTATACATAAGGCCCAATGACGCAACACAATATACCCAACAATCTCCCCCTTTGCGTCAATTGAGCGAGAGTACTTCAAGGTTAAGTTTGCTTCTGCACTTCATAGACCTTATGAATAACATTCAACAAGGTCTTGCGAACCTGAATGTACCATTGAATCATGTATGAGAAGCATTTTATATCTCCTTTGCTGTTGCCCTTGAGCTTGGTGACCAAATCCAAAATGAACTCAAGACAGGAAGTGTTGTATAGATTTTTATCTGGAAGGGAGAAACAGGCCTTGCGAAAGTCTGCATTACTTCGTTCTCTATCCTGAAACGTCACGTACCAACCCTCTTTGTGAATCTTCCCTATCTTCCACTTCTCAAAACCTTCAGGGGATTCTTTAGGAAGAACAGACGGCTTCTTTCGCAGTACAGCAACCACTTCCACATCCATATGACCTACCTCTTAAATATAGGAAGTTATCATCAGTTTGAGATGTTGGATAACAGGATCGTACTTTTGTTCATCTCTCAGCAACAAGTTGTAGAGCATGATCCAGTCGTATGGGTTGAGACACGACAGGTCAGCGAGAGTGAACTCATTGACCTTACTCGCAGAACCTCTGACAACTTTGAATTTTTCATTTGGAAAACTGTTAGTCTTAATTGGTCTAATGACCTTCACTACCTTTATCTTACTCGCACTCCACGTTTCATACTGTGGCTTCATGTGCTTGAGATAGAATGAGAAGAGGAGATGGTCAGCCCTGCTGTCAGTAGATGGCACGTTCGCAACTTTCACAAAAGAGCGAAACTTGAAGGCCTTGGGAGTAATCGGAAGATCCAGTTGCGAATCTTGTGTGTTCTGAAGTTCGAACGACACAACTGGCTCTAACCAATATTGACTTGGCAAGTCTACAGCTTTAGATTGAATTCGCTTCAGTGTCCATTCAGGGAATAAGAGCTTCCTGCTTTCAAGTGTGACCTGAGCTTCTTTTTCAGCTCTTTCTTCCTGTTCAGCCTCCCGAACAATTGTCTGTTGCTCATCCAATTCAGTTTCACGAACTTTTCTCTTTTTAAGTTCGTCTTCATCAATCTATTCATCTTCACTATGTTCAATAAGTGGATCTTCGGAGAAAAGGTTTTCTTTGCGTTTAGGCTCAGATTCGCTTTTGACAGTGTGCTTGGTTGAAGATTTGGGTTCAGTGTGCTTCTTGGATTGTGACCGATCTTCTCCCCCTTGTTTCGGAATGACGGGAGTCGTCGAAACACCTTCAATCCTACTTAGAATAGCTATAGCAGGACGAAACTTTTCAGCTAGATGCCTGCGAATAGAAATAGTGAGGATTGGATCATGAGAGTCAAGGATATTGGAGAGCAGAGCATTCACATCCCCAACACAGCTTTTGACCACTGCTCGCTCAGACTGAAGATCTTTAATCTCTTTGTCGGCTTGAGCAAGTTTTGCTAGATGAACCTTGACTGTTGTGGTGTGAGCAACAAGTTGATCCATAAGATTA